CACGCGCGCTCCCCCCTGCATGTGGCGGGGGCAGCCGTGCAGCAAGGAGCTAAACAACCAGGTCTGCTGCTGGAAAAAAAAAAAATTAGCATGAAGTTTTAATTAGTTATGTTAATGAGGCCCTTAAAGGCTGGCTCAGACTTCCAAGGAAGACTGGGCATGGAAAAAGCAAGCCAAGGGGCCAGCATTTCTGAGTTACATGCCCTGCGGTGGCTGCGAGTGCAGGGCGAGGAGCTGGGGGCATCGGAAATCCCTGGGGACCAAACACAGCCAAGCCAGACTCCAGTCCCCACGCATGGGTGCCTCCAGCCCTGCCTGGAGCACAGGATCCAGGCAGGCTGCCCCACGATGGCCACTGACCTGCAGCGTGTACCAGAAGGTGAGCGTCAAGGAGCTGGTGGTTTCATTGACGGGGTAGTGCCCGGGAATGCCAGTGCAGAACATGATCATGTTGACCAGGGCCAGGAAGCTCTGCCAGTGCTCCACCTGGTCCAGGAGGGCCCTGGGGAGCAGAGAGCACGGTCAGGGTGGCACCACCGCTGTGAGCCTGACTCCTCTGCCCTGACACGCAGCAATGGGTGCAGGACAGGCCCTGGACAAAGCAGCACGTGAGGAACAGCGGGCTGCTCCAAGCTCATTCCCTCTCCTGGGGACTGTCCCCAGCACTCACCGGGAGTGGTTCTCCCCCAAGGCCACAGCAATGCGGCATATCCCGTGTGACGTCTCCATGTCCCCGCTCTGGACCGCCTGGCGCAGCTGCTCTTGGAGCCCCAGCACAGGAGGGATGAGCTTCAGGAGGGTGTTCACGTACCTGCAAGCACAGCCTGAATCAGTGCCGGGCATCGACTCACCAGCACTGGCTGCCATGGCATCCATCCCTCCTGATGCTCTTCCAGGGCTCCTGCCCAGCTTTTCCTACTGGAAGATGGCTTTGTGCAGTGGGACGCATCCAGGAGCCTTTACCACTTACAGGAACTCTCCTCCCAGCCCGTGGCACTGGGATGAAGACCAAAGCCCCGAGCGCTCCCACAGCGGAGCCTCTGCAAGCGAAAAGAAGGACCAAGCCAGAGGCCATCAGCTCTGTGCAAGTCCCCACTGCACCACGGTGTGGGCATCTGCCTCCGCCTGCCCAAACCTGCTGGCAGGGCTGCAGCACCCCCCGACCAGCACTAACTTGTCACTGCCATGACCAGCCCTGAGCAAGCTGCGCCTGCACACAGCAGCGTTGGCAGCAATGGGGAGTGGGAGAAGGGCAGCGAAGGCAGACCTGCAGGCTCTTTTCGCCATGCTTGCAGCCCATGCTTCTGTGCTCTGCATGAGGGCAGCCAGAGGTGCCGGTGGGAAGCCGCACGACTCTCCAGCACAGGCACATGTGGATTGTGCTCCCTGGCTGGGATGAAGTGGGCAGCCACCCTTGGGGACTCCTAACCAGCAAGGATGCTGGCCTCATGGCATGCCCCCCTGACCCCCCACCCTGCCGGGCTGCCGCAGCCCTGCGTGGCACAGCTCTCCCACATCACATCATGCACATCAGCCTCCCCTCCGCGCTGCTGCCTGGAAGTGATGGTAACCAAGGCAACAAGAAGGAGGCAGCCAAGGTGAAACGCAGCCCAGGGCCCCCGGAGAGAGGCCGTGCCAGAGGCTGATGAGCAGCCTGCCATTTCCCTGCCCGCCGAGGCGTATTATCCAAAGCTGCAGCTATTCCGTGCACTCCCTGCCTGCCCTGCCACACACAGGTGCAGGGCCAAGGATGCTCGGAGCGGGAGGCACACGTGATGCCAGCTCTCCTGTGCCCACTGCAGGGAAGAGATGTGAGCGCTGACACTAGGACACCTGCACATCCACGCCGGAGCGGCACGGCTGCCCAGCGCACTGGCAGCTCTTGCTATGGCCGGTGTAGGAGTGAACAAAGCCATCGGTGCCACCAGCACAGGGACAGCACCATGCTGGCGGTGGCAGCTTCTAGGTCTGGGTCAGTGGGAGAAGACAGAGAGAAGAGGGAGTCTCCGCCTTGGCAACCCCTCTGTGTGGTGCTGGGGGTCACCCCCGCCTTGCCCCTCTCCCCCAGAGGAAATCGCACTGCAAAGGGGACAGGTATTTGTGTGTAAACCATTTTCAAGCCTCTGAGGCCCGGTGAGTGATGCCCATAGCAGTGTGGGAGCGCTGTGATAATGCAGAATTTGGGAATTCACCAGCTTCTCTCCCAGGGAACCAATGCTACAGTCAAGGTCAGCCCAAGGGAGCTGACAAAAAGGCACAGGGGACCTTCCACCTCTCCAGTGTAGGGCAAAGCCATCCTTCCTCCGCAGCACTGGGCTCACACTACCCTAGAGATGTTTTTATGACTTTAGGAGTTTATGACAAGGTTCCTGCTTCTGCTGGTTACCTTGAAATACTCACAGTGCAGATGCCTAGACCTGAGCTAGTCTTCTGGACTCGCTGCACAGCCAACAGAGAGAATCACCTGGATTTGCTTCCATGCTGCAACTTATCCCATGTTAGTGAAGACTTCTAGAAAAGGTTAGGTGAACCATGTCTCCTGAGCACCACCTTGCTCTGCTCACTGCCTATGCAGGTGTGAGAGCAATTCGGATGCAAAGGTCCCCAGCGAGGAGGGAGACTCCTACTCTAGGCAAGCTGTTTTAACCAGTCACCCAAGAGCTGTGGCCAAGCCAGCCAGAGCTGGGCTCCTCTCCTCCGTGCCCAGTCAGCACGCAGCCGCAGGCCACCCCGCCTGCTCAGTGCTGCTTCCCAGCCCCCAGTGACCAGCTGGCACCACAGCCCTGGCCAGGCGCAGAGCTTGCCCCGGAAAGCAGACACCGACACCTCGCCTGCCGGCCCTGCTGCCAGCCACCACTTCCCACCCCCGGCAGCCCAGCACCAGGCAGGAGAGAACAAGACCAGCCCAGGTGAGCCTCTGGCCGCCCAGCTGAGCGGCCTGTCTCCAGCAGCTGACAACTGGGAGTGCCTGTGAAAGAGTCTATGAACATGGCAGCCATACGGCAACGCTTCCCCATGTATTTCCCTCCAGCGATTTGTGTTAGCCTTCCTGAGCAAGATTTGCTATCGTCATATTTAGCAGCTGAGCAAATTTTTCTTCTGTGAGTTTGTCCGGTCCCTTCTCAAAGCCCAGTGAACTGCAGCATCCACAGCTCCCTCCATGGGACCAGCACCTCCTTATGCTCTTCCCACAACCCTCCCCAAACCACACCACAGTGCAGTGGACAACCTGCAGAGGACAGCTCACATGGGACAATCTCATCCTTCCTGATTCGAAATCCGAGCCATGTCCTGATGAGAAAACCCAATCTATTAAAAAACTGTTTCTAATGAAGCTCTTGGAAAACTCTTCCAGTGAAATTCCTCTTCAGGGATTCAGCACCAGGTGCTGAGACCAGGAAGGGATAGGCTGGACACCATGCAATCCCACCTGGACACCTGCAATGCTGCCAGCTACATCACTGCAGCAACACCCTGCTGCTTTCAGAGAGGTGGCTCAGTGTCCCATGCCCAAGCTCCGTAACTCCCACCACGGGCACACATCACGTGGAGGTCCCTCTCCCTGCTCCGACACTACCCACTGGGCTGCGGGAGCATGGCCAAGTGCTGCATGCCAGCTCTGCCCCTGCAGCACGTGCCAGCGAGCTCTCTGCCCTGCTTAACCGCTTAGCCTCAAATGAGACAGAAAATCCAGCCCAAGTCTCCTCTGCAAACAAGATGCAAGAACACCTCTGTTCCTGCCCTCCTGCAACTCAGGAGCTTCCTGCCACCCCCAAGAGCAGAGGTGCGCACAGAGTCAAGCCTCTGAGGTTTCTTCTCAAGAATGCCGTATCCTAGCAGAGGAGCGGCGCCCAGACTCCAGCAATGCCCAGGACACCCCCTCCTCTGGGTGCAAAGGGCTCCCACCCGCCTGGTAGTTAAGGAGATCAAATGCTTCGCACCTACAGATCTCTGCTGCATCACCTCTAGTAACACCTCGGAGGCAGGAAAGCCACCCACCGCTGCTCGCAGGCAGGGAAACGGAAGCTGCCGGCACAAGCGACTTACCCCGAGGGTGATCCTTGCCCATGAGGTCTCACCTGCCCTCCTCAACCTGGACATGGGTGGCAGCCGGCTGCTCCCAGGGTGAGGAGCTGCAGCGTGAGGGGTGCCTTGCACGGTGGTGCTCCCCTGGGAAGATGACCCGCAGGCTACCTAACCCCCAGCGGCAGAAGCCAAGCCTTCTGCTGACAGTAGAAGCACACCTGCATGATTGCCTCCGCAGCCATGTCAATGAAGCCAGCTGGGAGGGGGCGAGGAGGAAGGACACAGGGTCCATAACACCCAGGGGAACCTGTGGGAAAGCGGGGAGCCCTGAGACTAATCCTCTCATGGAGCGATGCCCTGCAAAGCTCTGGAGAGGACCGTGTTGGCAGCCCAGTGTCGAGGATGCTCCAAGCCTGCGGCCAAGGGCAGCAGGGAGCCAGGCCCCTGCAGAAACGAAGGCGAGAGACTGTGGAGGAACAGAGCAGCTGAAAAGCAGCAGGGATCTCCCAGACTGTCTAGAAAAGAGACAGAAAGGTCAGGAGACTCCCTGGGGGCTTGGGGAAGAGCTGGATCCGCTGTGGCTGAGCAACAAAGCCGGAGGGGCGGGACAGCCGGCACCAGGAGAAGCAGGAGGAGGGATGCGGGATGGAGGACACAAGGAACAAAGGGGAAGAGAGAGCCCACCAGGCCTGGGAAGTAGTGGCTCTGTGAGCTACCCTGCTCCTGAGCCTATCCCGGATCTCAGCAGCGAGCACAGTCCTGCTCCTCCCTGGAGCAGCTGACACCACACGCCGCCTGGCAGGGTGGCCCCATGACAATGCCACTGCTGTCCCCGCGCCCCGGGGAACAGGGGCTGCACCAGGCTCGCACACACTGGGCAGCCTTTCAGGCCAGCTGTCCACCCCATCCTGGCCACTGCCCCCACGGCTACGGACAGGGAGAGTGCTCTGCTGTGGCAAATCATGCCTCCAAGGAGAAGGATGGAGAGCAAGTGCCGGTGACACTGCAAGGGAGCCACCAGCGTGGCAGGACCAAACGGGGCCAGAAACTGCACGGCAGGGTCAGCACGGGAGCAGAGAGGAAACTCTGCTGTCAGCCATGCTTCTCAGGAAAGCTCACTTTGAAAGCTCAACAGAAAGCTCAGGCTTTTAATACAACTGAAGAACAGCGCTGCAGGGCCAGGCTCCTGCACACAGGTGGGGAATCACAACCAAGGGACTTCTGAGACTCAAGGGAAACGGAAAGGAGGAAGGCAGCAAGTCCAACATTTCAGAACTGCAAGTCACCCTCTCCTACCTTCTCATTTTCTGTACCAGTCCTGCTACAAGGGTTTGGGCTGGCCCACAGCCTTTGCCGGCTACAAGGAAAAGCTACTTGTTGTGATCTGAACGCTAGCAAATGAGGCAACCCCTCCTTGCACCCGGCAATACATCAAAATCCTGACAGGTCCCTTTGCGCACCGGGACTTCCAGTCTCCAGATGCAACCCCCTTGTCATCACGGAGGACCGGAGACCGCGCTGGCTGCCCCTGCCCTGAAGCCAGTGGGAGGAGCAGGGCTCACAACTGCAGCGGCAGCAGCATCCGCACCGCTGCAGAGGGTCGGAGCCTGCATGATGCGCAGCGATGCACAGGGATGCACAGCGGCAGCAGCTCAGCCCAGCCTTCAAGGAAACCCTCCTCTTCGGGGGAAGGTTGCTAAGCAGCCAGGAGGGGATGTGGCCACGGGAACCAGAGGAGATGTACTTTCCCTTCTGTGGGCATTGGTCCCGAGGGCTGACAGCAGCTTGGACAACGCGGCCAAGCAGACGAGCTCAGAGTCCCACGGCGCAGCCCTGCAGGACCTGCCCTAGTCCCGGCTCCCAGCTCTGCTGCGCCAGGGGCAGCCATGGCCGCAAACAAAGGATGAGTCCTCGGCTGGCACGAGCTGTTGCGGCCAGGAGGAGGGAGAAGACTGACAAGTCTGGTTTTATTATCCCTGCATCAAATCAGCTCCTTGGCTGGACCAGCAGCACAAGGCAGAGGAGGGTCTCTGTAGTCCCCCTGGCCAGAGCCAGGCAGCTGCTCCCTGGTCGGGCACTGCAGGGTCTGACACGAGGAACCAGAAGGGAGCATCCTCCTCTGCTTGAGAGGAGGAGGGTGGAGATGGGCTGCAGCAGCCCAAGACTACATGGTGCCCACAAATCAACCATGGTGCAAAGCCTTCCAGGACCAACCATGTGAAACCAGGAGCTGCTGTCTGCTTTTAACATCTCCCACTTCCAAACCCTGTCATCACCACGTCCAGGGCTGATGGTAGCTAGAAAAAGGCCTGAGGTTTTTCCTCCCCACCCCGTTCCCCCGTTGATGCCCAGAAGCACCAGCCTGCAGCGCATGGGAGAGGCTGCCCTTACCTCTGGGCATCGGGCTGGGAAATGGCATTGACAACAGCCTCCACCGCTGTGTCGAAGAGCTCTGGGTCCTGCAGAGAGGCGAAAGCTGCCTGGATCAGGTTCTCGCAGTCCATCAGCGGGATCTCCAGCTGCACCCAGCTGGAGAAGCACTTCAACACCTTCTGCTTGATGAAACCCGGGGAGTCCTGCTGCTGCAGCAGCTGCTCCAGCAAAGGGAAGACTGAGCCGCACTCCTGTGCTAGGACGCTGCGCACCTGGCCCTTGCGGTACTGCGGCAGGCGGCTGGTCTGGAACTCCTCAGGCAGCACCGTCAGCAGCTCCAGCAGTGCCAGGCACCGCGCTCGCCCGTCCACGTTGGAGTCCTCCGCCTGGAACATGCGTACCATGTCTGCCACGGCACAGGGCCAAGCCTCCGGCATCATGCTGAGGGCCAGGGAGGCCAGCGCCACGCACAGCCGGGTCAGCACGATCTTGGAGCCGCTGGCGAAGCGGGTGATGTGGGTGAAGAGCTGTGACTTGAGGCTCTCATACTGGTCGGCCGGGATGTCATTCCAGTAACGGGAGATTTTAATGTGGAGAGCGCTGGCACCAAAGTACTGGATCTCGGGCACCTTGTCCATGTTGAGAAGCAGCCAGCTGAAGTGCCACGCCTGGGGGGAGACCTGCGCCTGCATCAGCCATTTCTGAGCCAAGTTCTTGTTCTCGATGTTTGGGTCATAATACAGCTGATGGAGAGCCTGGAAGAGAGAGGGAAGCATCCTAGAGCAGCCGAGGAGCACAGCCACGGCAGGTCCCGCCAGGGAAAGGCTCACCGGCACGGAGCCCAGCGCCTGGGCTGCCTGCCAGCTGCTGCCCTGCAAAGCCAGCCCCCCTCCCCGCGTCAGCCTGCCTTAGCTGGCCTCCCTCCTTGGGCTGTCGGCAAAGTGAGAGAGGACCTGCAAAGCATTCTTCCCCTCCTCCTCTCATGCAGCACTCTGGAAATTTCTTTTCCTTAGTCATCTCCCATCCTCGCCTTCCCTCATGCCAAACCTGCCTGCTGATGCACTGTCACTGGGGTGGGCGCAGGACCTGTCTGCAGCGCGAGGGCTGTAAGGGACACGGCACGCTGGCACTCCTGCCTTCCACCTGCACCCGCTCTCAGAGAGGTGCTGTGGATGCACCGGCTGCCAAAAAGCATGTGTGGCCCAAAGCTTGTGTCCAGGAGCCCAAGGAATGCAAGAGCTGCTGCAGATATCTCCGTCTATCAGGTTGTACAGAGCCTTGGAAACCCACAGTCACTAAGCTCAGGGATTAATCCCTCCACAGAGTCCCTTTGAAGTATTCCCAAACCTGCCCAGTTACAGCTGGGCCAGGAGAGCTGGCATCTAACCCTGCCTCTGCCACCACCTCCCGGGACAGCCCAGGACTGCTCACTCCATCTCCCCGTGCGGAGAAGGAGAACATCACTTACCTGCTCCGACAGCTTTGGGAGATCTAGTTACTGCTTTGCAGAGCTCAGATCCACATGAGCAGCCTCACGCAGGCTGCAAGGCTTTATTTGCACAGGAATGTTATATAGATATTAAGGGCAACATTAATTAGTTACTTATTCTGAGTGGGTGCAACTGGTAACCAGCGATGCCCTCACACATAGAGGGGGACAGAACTACCCTTTGCCCGAACTCCATCTTCCAGCAGTGAGGTTTTCTGCCTGGCACAGTGCATTTCATTTCAGATCACTGACTGCATATGCCAGGAGCAAGGAGAAGCAATGGCATTTGTCAGGCTATCAGGCACCCGTCGCACCCCACCAGCAAATTGGAGGATGATTCCAGCAGGTGCAGAGGATTTTTTGTGTCCCCATCCTGACTCCAGGTCTCAAATATCCTCCTCCTCCCCCTAGAAAGCTCTATGAAATTCTTGTGTGGCTCTTGTACCCAGGAGAGGATTTAAACCCTATTTTTAAGCATGCAGAGCTGGCAGCCTGGGGCACAGAAACAAGCTTCCCAAGCAAGTGCTTATGCCTCCCGCTGCTTCCCAGCACAAGACCAAAGAGCAGGACGAAATGGCAGGAACCTTAGAGAGATGGCATTGCCTGGACCATCATTTGAAACGCCTCTGTTCAAGACTTTGTGGCGGGGGGAAATGAGGACAACCTCTTTGTGAGAAAGAAAGAGGTTATGAAGTATTTCATAGGAGACAGAGCCAGCCGACACGGGCTGCAGAGGGACAGGCATCTGTTCCACTAAAAGACGTATCCTGACACAGAAAAGGTTAACCCTAGATAAGCAGGACACGGGGAGAGAGAAATTTGTACCAACAGAGTGGCCAAGGGGAGCCCACGAGTTATCAGCAGCTACCTGAAACCTTGCTCTGTTCTCGGTTATCTCAGACTCTTGCCTGAAGCATCACTCAGCTGCTGGGGCACAGGTAAGCACTGTCATCCCCTCCTGTCAAAGCAACAATTTACTTCACTATGAAGCAGTAGGTGCAGATGTGCTAAAAGCTCAACCACTCCTGGGGGCAGGAATCTGGCTCCTACCTCTGCTCTTTCGCTGAAGACCCAGTCATCCTGCAGCAGGACTGGAGCTCCCAGCTATCTCCTCCAGTACCTGCTCAGTCTCTTATTTGCTCTCATCAGAGCTTGCTGCTTATTTTCTTTCCAAAATAAATCTCACTTGAGATTCCCAGAGTCAGTGACATCCCACTCTTCTCCTTCCCCACTCGCTGGGCACCCTGACAAGGTGCAAAGGCTGGCAAGCAGTCCCCTCCGCCTGCTCCCCAGCCCGCGACCCCTCCCCACCTCCTCCCAGCCTCTCCGTTTACACTCCCACGCACTCCCTAATTAATTGATTTCTTCTATTTTGAATAGTCTTCCTGCTAACACTTAGATAATTGTAGGGGGAAAAAAATCCCTATGCATCATATATTAAGAGGCACAAGCTGTGTACATGTCCCAGGAGCCCTAACCTCTAATCCAGTACAAGATTTGTAAAGCACGGACCACACCATGTGTGGAGGACGGACCTGGCCTCCAGTGCCGGGTTTCCAACCCACAAGCTCCCCAGCCGCTCCCCTACCCTGGCTTCAGGGCTGCTGCTTCACGGTCTCACGGTGGGGAGCTATACAGGAAAGCGTGGCACCGTGCACACTCCGGGCACACCAAAGCGAGCCCCCGGAGCGATGAGCGTGCAGGGTGAGCCTTACACAGCGCTGCGGGCGACGGGGAACGTCGCAGGGCAGCGGAGCGGGGGCTGGCGTACACAGCCTGCCCGCGGGGAAGCAGCTGCGGGCTCATCCTCCCGCCTGGCTGAGGCTGCTGGCGAAGGCCTGATCCTGCCACTGCCTCCAAGCAAGCAGACCCCGGTGCTTTCGTGGGATCACCTGACTGAAGGGAGAGCAGCGAGCCAGCAGGCAGAGCCCGGCACGAGGCTGTGGCGTGAGCATCCTGCAAGCAGCCCCTGCGCGAGCACCCTGCGTGCAGCCCTGGCAGCAGACTCCGGCGCTGTCTAAGCCAAAAAAACTGCCGCTGCATTGTACCGATGGCAAAGAGGGTGCATTATCGTAGACGCTCCCCTCAATGCTCATGCCAGGGAGATGTCACTACCACTGCATTAGAGGAACAGTGAGCAATCAGGTCATGAGACCCCTCCCCAGGCAGGGTCAGCTTTCCAGCCACGCAGATGGCTTTCCTGCCGCCACCACCCCAGCACCTCACCTGCACCCCTCATGCTCCGTCCGCCCTACAGCGGTGCCCACTGTCACCAGTGAGCTCTCCGGAGAGGCATCCATCGCCCAGCAACACCACCCCAGAGCCCCGCTCCTCCCACAGGGAGCCTCTGGGGAGGTTTCCAGTGGAGGCCCCCACGGACGTACGCTGGAGCCTCTGCTGCTCAGCACCTTGGGGAGAGAGGGTGAGCGGTGAGATGACAAGGTCTACCAAACACACTAAGTTATTCAGAGGATGGAAACAAAGCTGATGCTGAAGAGTCACGCTGCAAGCTGTAGGAAGTCAGAAGAATATTCTGGAAAAACGTGGCTGCTGGCTTTCTTACCCCCTTTCCCCAAGCACCCTGCCCAGGAGGGGACCGGCCGTGGCAGCTCCTGGCCAGAGCAGGGCTGTTCCTGCCTGCATGCAAGATGCCAGGTAGAGAGAGGCAAGGCAGCACGTGCCCCGGGGCTGCTGACAGTGCACCCCCTCTAGTGCTCTACACAACACGGGAGAGCTTTCCAGAGGACCTCCAAGGATGGGCATCAATACTGGAACCATCCTAGCCCAGCTCAAAGCAGCAGACGAAACCCCTGAGAGAAGACGAGGCTCTTCCCCTAGCCTACCACGCACATCAGCTGAGTACCATCCTCTGCTGAGAGCATGGGACAGGAGCCTGCAAGGCACCGTGCCCTGCAGAAGGGTACTTCAACACCCGGTGTGCTCCTCCCCAGCAAGGAAAGGCACCGTCCTCATCCCAGAACCGGCACCAGCTGCTGTTGGACTTTGACAACACCATGCCAGCCAGCACTCTCAGGCCCATGAGGAAGCACTGGAGATGATGATGAGAACTCCTTAGCGCCAGGAGGGAGAAACAGAAGGCATGAAATCGGACAGTGACATCTAACAGGGAGGCTTTGTGCATTCTGATTTGAACGGGTGGCTGCCACCAGACCTGCCTCCTCCGCAATTAGACCTGTAACGTGAGAGCTGGTAAACAGCCCGGCTGTCAGCTATGCCCTTTGGCCAGGGAAGGAGCTCTCTCCAACATCAGCTCTGCTTGGTTGAAAATAATTCAAGCTTGTTATGATGGCTCTTCCCTGCCCTAAAAAGCTGTGGCCAAAGTCTCAGTTAGGCTCTAGATACTGGAGTGGTATCAGTGGCTCAAGAGAGCCAGAAGGAAGCTGCCTTGGGGCAGGGGAGGTTGCCCAAAACGCATGGGTCAGAGGTCCCACGCTGGTCACTTTGGACAGTGGGAGGGGGACCAGTCCAAGGAGAGTTATTGCCAAGCAAAGGCACCTGATCTTAGCTTGCAGCCTGGTATCATGAGGGAAAAGGAGCTGCTACGAGCCCAGCATCCCTCAGCCCTCAGAGCTTCTACAGAGAGCCCAGAGCCAGCAGGCTGTCTCCCCAACTGCACTCTGTAAATCCATTAACACAGGGTCCCCAGCAGAGTCGTGTTGTGTCCGTGCCATTTGTGGGGTGACAAGAGGTGCCCCAGACGTGCGGCTCCAGCTTCACAGAGCGGTAGTGTGCTGCCTGCCATTCCTGGGGGGCTCCACAGGGAGACGGGTCCCCTCCAGGGGCCAGTCTGCTTGAGCTAATGGAGGTAACAGCGGGTACAGCTCTGAGGTCTGCAACCCGCAGGGAAAACAGCAAGCTGCGAAACATATTCCTGTTCTGCTCCTTGCCCCGTGCCCACAGCCACGGCACGCCGGGGGCAGCAGAACCCCCCGGGACGTCTCCCGCTATGGTCTCTCGCTGTCCTTTCTAGCTGAATGCACTCGCACCGCCAGCGCTCCAGGCCTGCGACAGCACAACCATCACCACGGCTCTGCCAAGCAAAGGGAACGTCATCCTCCCCCTGTCCTCCCCCTGTCCTCCACCTGCCACGGCAGGACGGCCAGCGGCCCCGGGAAGGCGCCAGCCTGCCGAAGCGCTGAGGATAGCAAACGGATGCAAAATAAGGCCATGCACGTGCTGCCAAGTGTGCTGCTCTTGCTGAAGGCACCCACACTTTGCCAGCAGTCCCAAAGAACAGGGATTTTTTTCCCC